CTAGTTAACTTCAGTAGAACTGGGGCCCTTGCATGCTTGAATAATTGAAAGCTTGAGTCAGAATCACCAGAAACATGTTTTTCAACCTTTTACAATTTGCAGCACCTTCGAACTTTTGTTGTTGTTGTTGTTGGTTTTTTTCGCCAGTGGAAGTGTCAGTTCCTGTATAGTGATTTCATACTGCAGAAAATAGGTTTGCTTTTCTTAGCTACCCTCTGTAGACCCCTTAAAAACAGCCTATGAACACATAGATTGCAGGTCAAAGACTGTAACTTCGACATATCTCAAAATATTTACTGTTTTCTCTAGAGCCCTTTGTCCTGACGTCATCCAAACAAATATACAAAGGGCAGTGTCTTGTTCTTATGGTTAGAAAAAAACTTAAAATGTTCAGTGTTTAATTTTTTTATTTGACTGCCAATTTCATGATTTTTTGAGCTTTGGCTTACAATTTTTGAATGTTTGTTGTTAGCAATGATGCATTCCTGATATTACTCACTTTATGCTGGTCCTCTATCCATTTTAAGTCAAATATTAAAAACACAGTTGACTGTTGGAATATGGGGAGGAGGACACCCTCTCCACACTTGTTTCCTGCTGAGCGCTTTAGACAACCTGGGGGAGCAATCTGTCCAGGACCATCAGAATATAACATTATAAAATTATATGGTGACACATCCAAACTTGAGATGCAGATCTACGCTGCCTTCTGGGGAAAACTCTGCTCTAACAAATCTGAACTCATCACTACTCTCTGTTGAAGCCTACAAGAATGACAACCTGAGGACAACCATGAGAGCCAGGAACAGGCCGTGAGACTCAGCTTTAAAGGTCATATTCCTTTTGGCACCCGAAAGAACAGCGGCCATGAGTGATTTGCTTTGCATTTATGGCTTTTACCTTGGTATGTTGTTTGTCTTCTAATAAACTACTTGACTCACTAATCATCCATTCAGAGGAGCTTTCTGAGCTGTGGCTGAGGAAGAGATGAATGCATCCAGTTCTGAAATTATGCAGTGAAATGCTGCTCTGCATATTATAGCTGCAGCATTGATATATTAGCTAATAAAACACAGCACGGAAAAGGCTTTGGGAGGAGCCCTGAGCAGTCAAGGGGCCGCTGAGAAAAATGGGAAGGAGGGATTTTGGTGAGCTGTGTGATGAAGGGAGGCAGTCCAGGGGAAAGGCAGAAGGTGGTGAAGGCCTGACAGGTAACAGGAGGCGATGGATGAGGAGCTTTGGAGTGAAAGATCTGTGCATGGTCTGGTCCTAAGAGTCATCACGGGAACTGGAAAGAGCAGCAGATGGAAGTGATGATGAGCTGTGCGATGCAAAGAGACAGAACACCACAAAAATCCCTGCAAACCTGCAGAATACCCCAGCTGGACACGATGGGAACTGAAAATCACAGGTTGCTGCTCCACCACAGACAGCTTGACCACAACAGGGGTACTGTCACCATCCTTCCCCGCTGCAGTAATGCCTGGTGCCTCAGCAGTAATAGGATTTCAAGGATTTGGGAAAGCAGCAAGGCTCCCTCTGAGACAGGGTGACATTTGGGGGGAGGGGAAAAAATAAAGGGCATTGTTTGGGTGTTTAATTTAAGCTACATCCAGCCTGAAGGGAGTGTTTGAAAGAACTCGAGGTTCTTCTGTGTTTCAGGTCAGATTTCTCCCTCAGCCCCAAACTCACCAAAGGGTTGGTAGTGCCTGACCTGAAGAACCTGCCCTGGCTGTTTGTCTAATGGTTTGGGTCACTCTGTTTAGTTTGGTTGTGTTCCTCTAAACAAAGCTTTAACCAAGGGCATTATTAACTGGAGTGGCTGCCCTGTTGGTTGCCTGGTTTGGTGGGCAGAAAGACAAGGCTAAAGATGCATTTTTGCATTGGAAACAAATTGTTAATTGTTGCAGTTTGGGAAAACAGATTTCCCCAAGGTTAAACATCTGAGGATATTAAAACCGGGAAACAGAGACTTTCAGTTCTGAATCACAAATTCAGACCCAACCCCAAACGAGGAAGAATCCCAAGTTTCTCCTTGTAAAACGATTGGTAGCCTACGTGAAGTTAGTTAGCTTAGCTTCCTTAGATGAGGTCTGCCCTTTGATTTTCACCAATTTTGTCAGTTTTGAAAGTGATTGAATTATTCTCGTCCGCAGCCATGCTGAGGTGTTCAGCTGAAATGTAGCACTATGTGAGCAGAACTGCAGGAATTTAAGCACTTGTTTCATCTGTTCATTTGCTTCAGGGGTTAGTCCCATGGCTTAGATCAAGGAGCCTTTCATGGCTGCTAAATGAAGGGAAATCTTGGGAACTTGCAGCCAATGTGGCAGTTTTGGGGTCACATTTCCTTCTAAACCTTTGGGGATTGGTTATAGGGTGGTGTGGTGAAACAGTGTGACTGAACACAAGTGTTGAGCAAACCATTAAAAAATCATTTCTAATCTGGAAAGACAAATTTTTAAGCGCCAGGAAAGGCTACTGAAACCTTTATCTGGTCCCTTGTTCACAGCCACTCTGAACATGTCCTTACTTCCATGACCTTGTACTTTTTTTCTGCTGTGGAAAAGCAACGGCCTCATTAAGTGAACCTGACCAAACTGGTCCCTGTTGCACACCCATTCTCTGCGTGCTCAGGGTCACAAGGACAGAAATAAAAAGGTATTACTCCAGTGAACCTTGCCATATGCATAAAGAACATGAAGGAAGATTATCTACATTGAGAACTGGAGTTTTCTGAATTTCAAGTACCTATTTTTACACTGGATTAGCATTTCCACTGCCCCTCCAAGCCTTGTGAACAGAACATCATACATCTGTCCAGGGTGATCAGCAGCAGGAGAGGGACACCCTTTTCTGCTGGAGTATTTCTGCTCTTTGGGCTCGTGGAATGCCAGTAATGACTGTGAACTTGCCACTGGAGAGTCGTGACGCACTTTGGAGCAGGTATTTGCTGAGATCAGAAAACCAGTGGACACTTGATTTCCTCTCCAGCCTCCAAACAGGGATGTGCTTTGGTGACCACAGCCTGCCCACACTGCTGTGCAGTTCTGGCAGCTTCCTTCTTCAGAGGGGTGTATTTGGGAAGAGAGAAATCCTGGGAAAGCAAGAGGGAAGGAGTGCCTGCTCTTTGCTTTGGTGTCCCATCCACAGGCTAAAGGAGCCACAGTCACTTTATCCTGGAATGGTGTGGGTTGGAAAGGACCTTAAAGGTCAGCTCCTTCCAACCCCCTGCCATGGGCAGGGGCACCTTCCACTATCCCAGGTTGCTCAGAGCCCCATCCAGCCTGGTCTTGGACACTTCCAGGGATGGGGCAGCCACAAAAAGTCCTGCTTGCCCTTAGGATGTCAGGTGAATAGTGCAGATGAGCTGTATTAAATCTATAGAAAATCAGGCTGTGAGGCTTTACTGAAGCTGTTTTGTGTGCTGATCTAAGAGCTCACTGCCAGCAAGTGGGAGGTCTCCCTAACTCCTCTCCCCTCCCTGCCTCCTCTTTGCTCCCTGCATCCTCTTCCCGGGGGCTTCTGCCACCATTTGTCTTTCACCAGTGCTTCTGTCCCTCGGACCTACCTCTGACAGCTGGCAGAGCCGTTTTCTGTGAGATTAGTGAGGTGTGTAAGGAGCCTGATAAGAGTGAGAAGTGACCCTGAGGGGGGCTGAGACACCCTGGGCAGGAGAAGGAGCCGGGCAGGGACCTCCCCATTCTGTTCCCTCGACAAGCTGGTCGGAGAGGTGCAGTCTCTGGGTTTGGTCAGACGGTGCCTGCAGTTTTTCAAAGCCTCCTAATGTGGTTAAATTGGGGCAGGCTTTCACAGAGGCAGATTTCGTGTTCCCTTTTCAAAGGCTAAGGGCATTAAAGCCTCTCTGAGAAAGATTACCAGGGTGTTTTGACAAGGCAAAATATAACCGAGCCCTGGTCTGAGAGATAAGAGAAACTTCTGGTTAAGAGTTTCCCATGTAATTCGAGTTTAGGTAAATATTCAGTGTGGAAATTTTTAGCTAAAATGTCTAATGTTTGGTAAATGTACTTAAGCAATATTAACAATAGAGCTGCCAGCCCCACCTACAAGAAGTGGTTTGCACCCTTTTGGCAGAAAGATCTAAGATTGAATGGATATAAGGTAAAGCTGGGAAAATCATGTTGTTCACTATTTTCCAGTGAGTCATCAACAGGTTTTTTTAAAAACTTTGTAATAACAGCAGGTTTTTTTCAGAGCACATGAGATGCTTTTCTTCAGAAAGTAGCATTATAATGAGGGAGGAGTGGGGATGCATGTGCTTTTCATCTGCATGGAACACAAAGAGACCAAGTAATGTAAAGCAGACCTTAAAAGAGACAAATACTCATGTTAGAGAAAAATGCTGGTAGGATAAATCGGGGAAAAAAAAATGTTTCGAGTGCACACTGAAATCCTTTCATATCATCTGAAGTGTAAGAGCCAGGCAGAGAAAACTGCACCCAGAGAGTCACAGCGGGGCTGATAGATTGGCTCACACGCCCAGGACTGATAAACAGGTTTTGTGCAAATCCCTTTCCTACCGCTTTGCTTTTCTTCTGATAAATATTTTAAAAAGAGATTTGTCTTACCGGGACGACTTTAGCACGGGGAAGAGAAAAGAGCACGGGTTTAATATTAATGGGTCTGAGAGAGCTTGTGCAAACTCTTTGCTTTGTTTTCTCGTGTTTTACTCTGTTCTGTACAGCGTGCAACTGGTATCACTGACAAACTCCCACAGAGAGTCCCTGCCCCCCTGAACTGTGGCTACGAGCCACTCACAAGCACAAGTCTGAGGGCAGGTACCTTTTAAGGTCTTCCAGTTTCCCTGTTTTTCCCTGTTTTTCTCCTGCTGCCCCTGCCTGCCTGCAGAGCCCTGGAAACGCGATAGCCCGGGTTCCACCCTGCTGGTGGAAAGTTCATGGAAACCATCAATCAGAACCAGTTGCCTTTAGCAACCACAAAACAAATCTGCCCGAGTTCACCCCGGGGATGGGGAGTGCGTGGTTGTCGCCGCGCTGGTGTTCAGCTGAGGACTCCTGGCATCGGGAAAACTTAACCTGTAGGAGCTTTCAGAGAGGAAGTAAGTGTTAAGTAATGTCTGCAGGGTGAGATGGAAGTCTCCCCCAGTCACTGTCGCTAAGAGCAGAAGGAGGTCCTAAGTGGGTCTGGAAACCACTGACCGTGAGGCTGAAAAATCTGCAGGAGTGGACGTGTCACAGCCATCCTTTCTAACAGCCTGAATTATAGTGTATTTTAACGTTGTTATTGCTGACTTGTTATGTAAAACCTTAAACACTTTGTAAGGGGAAGATATCTGTATCTATTTATAGCATATTTATAGGGTGTTCAGCTCTATATGTATTTTTTAATCAAGAAACCATCTCTGACTCTTGATATGTGATCCAGGTAGTCCTTGTGTGTGCAGTACCATCTCCAGCCTCACCTGGGAACACCTTCTGTCTGCTCACACCACGGTGAAATGAGGCAGCACAGTTAGGAACGCACAGGAATGCGCATGGAATTACACCCACTGGAAAGCCTTATCCGCGGACCTGTTGCTGCCTCCCACAGAGAGGGTCTAAAAAAAGCGCAGCAGCCTCCGAGGGTGGATGTCAGCAGCGGGATTACGGATTCTGACCCTCCCAACCCAAGATGTTTTCCCAGGTCAGGGCAGCGTGGGTTTCAGCAGCTGCCCCTGTGCTAACACCTATGCCTTTGGGAACAGGGGGTGGAGAGGAAGGGAAAGGAAAACAAGGACATACCCTTCAAAACCAGCTCAGGTTTCAAGGGGGGAAGGATTTCTCTCGGTTCTTTCCCTCCCCGAGCGCCAGATGTGGGGGGGAAGGAGCCTGTTGTGATGCTGCAGGCAGGCAGAGCTGTTGTTACGCAGATCCCGGCATCTCTGCTCAGTACAACTCATCCTGCCTTCAGGGAAGTTCAGCAATTTCAACACCGTCTTCGGGATTTTCCAGGGGGCACGATCTACCAGTTAGTCATGCAGCCTATTCTCCTCCTGCTCTTTTTAAAGAATCGCGGCATTTTCAAGAGAAGTCACTGGCTTGGCTTGACATTTACTCTCGTATTCTTTATCAGGAGATGGGGGAATGGTTTTCAATACCGGTAAACCTGAACACAGTGGGTACTTTTTTCTTCTGAAGAGTTGTAGAGCTCAGTTTCTCAGGCCTATTCACACTCTAAAAATAGCTCTGTTTTCATCAATTCATTAACAAAACCACACTGCAGTGCCCTGCACCTTGTTATTGACATTCTCAGCAATACAAATAAGTGCCCGACTGCTTCTGCTGGATGATCAAATGCCAGAGCATATATTCATTTCACTGATAGATCAATTAATTTTTAACTTCCCCCCCCCCTCTTTCTACAGCTGTCTGAAAGCTACAGGAACACCTGAAATCAGAGGAACTGCTACCTACCAGAACAGGTTCTACTACCTGAGTGTCTGGCCTATCGTTTGGTAGGTCTGGGCACCAATATCCTTCCTGAACACAGGAGGTGCTGCAAAGGCAAAAATGGAAGAGCCTAAAATAAAATACCCAGTTTTGCATTCTTTGGACTTCCTGGTGATAGGGTGGTGAATTTTTTTTTTTTTTTTAGATATACTATGAAATGAATGTATGCAGTAAACTTCCCAAGAGATATAGGGAGAAATATTAAACAATATTATTCTTAATTAGCAATATGTGAACATTATGAGGACTTCGTCAAGCTCAGAGTCTCACTCTGCTGGGCTAGGTAAGAAGGCACTCCTTGCTTGCTTTGAAGAGTTTAAAACCTGAAGAAACCAAAGAGTCATCGAAGTCAGGGACAGTCCTCTTTTCACAGACAGATAAATCAGACCAGAGTTTCTTTTAGTAATAATAAGACCAACTTTGCTTATTAGCAGCGTTGTGCACATGACTTTTTCTTTGGCATGTGTGTTCCTTAATGTGCCAGTTAAAATAATTCAGTGACCTTTGGCCCTCTCATTTTATTTGGAGACCTCAAAGTACATCAGCACACACGCAGTAATGGCTGATAAGGGAATAAAGTCATAAACAATCCTAATTTGTATTATGCTGGGTACACCAAAAAGCTGCTCTTCCCTAATCCGCTTACTGCTTTTGTTATCCTGGCAGGAGACCTCTGGAAATCCCCCCAGGGCGTAAAGATAGAAGAGAATCAAACGGGGAGGGGAAAAGGGAAGGACATTTAATAATTGAGGAAAATCTCATTTGAGCGAAGGTTCATTTGTGAGCGCCCGAAGCTTCCTGTGCTTCCATGCAAAGGCTCCAAATGTGGCTGGGAGGGAGGAAAACAGTTGTGTCCAGCAGACCTAGATTGTGTATCTCGGCAAAACCTGAGACTAGAATGGAGGGACTTAGCTGTAAAAGATATACAAGGAAGCAGGCAGGGCTAAGGCAATTTTAACCCCCCTATCTGATTCAGAAAATAGCAATTTCCCATTTGGTTGCCCTACTACTGAGAACTCATCTATTTCCAGCACAAGGTTTTGCTTCTTGAAGGGGAATTTTGCCCCTAAAATATAATCTATCCGTGGGGACAGCCCTCTAACCATGCCATGGAAACTGGATAAATCCAGTTATTTCAGCTCTTTTTTTTTTTTTTTTTTTTTTTTTAGTTTTGAGCCCAAAGTGAAGGGGGCCTGACAAATCTTTGTGAACAGAAGCTGCCACGATTTGGACAGCCTGGTTTCAGTGCTGGCATCTCCCACGTTTCTGTCCCACACAGTCCTTGGGACAGAGACCAGTAGGTAGGTCCTGTGAGCCCTCTGAGGGCCAATGTGGTAGATGAATACCCAGTGTGCAAACAAATGATGGACTTAAAGGGAACTGTAATCCATAGCTGTGACTTGCATTCAGGTAGGTTTAAATGTGTTCTGAACCTATTCTTCTTTATTTTGGAGGTCATTCCTGGCTCAGGACTACTTGCTTCTAGTAGTTAATCCTCACCCAAGAGGGGTGAAAGAAGGAGAACCAGACTCAAGAGACAAACAACAGCACAGAACTGACTGAAGCCAGTCTAGGGAGAAGCAAATTCTGGGAAGCATAATGGGTAGGCTCTGGAGGTCTTAGGGACCCTGCTGATCTAGCAGACCCTGTAGCAGATCCCTGAGAGCAGTGCTGGTGTTGCTTTTGTCCCCTGTCCTTGCAAGATTTTGGAAGTAAAGGCTGTGCAATGAAGGCCGCTTCTTTTTTTTTTTCTTTTTCTTTCTTTCTTTTTTTTTTTTTTTTCATGTGGTCTCCCTGAAAGCAGAACACAATTTCTTCAGCTTTATAATTCAAAAGTATTTTAATTCTGTGATGGCATTTATTCTCCAGGCTGTGAACTGACCATAAATAGTTCTCTGCAAGAATTTGCTATTGGGACTGTGGTATTTACTAGAGACAAGTCAGATGAAGTCCTTCAGGCTAGACTGCAGCCCTTTTGGTCTCTGTTCATCACAGAAAGGAGGCTGGGAGGACCTGAGGGGATCTCCCCATCCAAAAGCACGTCACAGCTTTCCACACTGATTCCTCGCTGCCTCCGCAGCGTGGGAGGGCTGGGAGAAGGACAGGGAATGACTTGGGCCCACTGCAGACTAAAAACCTGTGCCCCAGCAAAGCTGACAGCAGCCAGGTGAGTGTGTTGTAAGTCAGAGCAGCCTCTTGGACCTACAGAGAGGTGTAGAGGAGCACATCTACTCTAGGAAGAGGGAGAGACATCAGTACTGCCCCTGTGCTCTCTGACTTTGGAGCACACGTGTCAGTGGAGCTTGGCATCTTGCACAAACCCTGAATAAATGCACTAACCCCGAATAAATGCATAATCACTGTCACTGCTTTGAGGAACCCATATTCACAGGCATCCGAAAATAGCAGCGATTAAAACAAACTGCCTTGAGTCAACACAGTGTCCAGGGTTGTCATGCACACTCCGTGGACAAAAGAGTCCCCTGCTCTTGGAATTCAGCGGTCAGACACTTCTTTACCACATTTTGAAGTTAATGGCGTTCTTTCTCCTCAAAGCAGGCCTGTTTAATTGCGAGCTGATTTTGCTGTGCAGCCGTTTGGACACCTGCTCGTGCTAACTCCTCTTCATGCAGCCCCACCACAGGGTGGGATCACTCTTTGGCTGCAGAAATAACTGCCTGAGCTTTGATGTGGTACATGTCACCACCTTTCACATCAAGAAAGGCACAAATCCCAGCATCAGTCCAGGCAGATCTGCTGTCTCTGATTTGAGTTTCCCAAATACTTTATTACTTTAAACTTTTAGGGTGAATGCAGCCTCACAGATGACGCCGTGACACAGCAGAAGAGAAAACAACTGAACTGTTTTGTCTCCATGGACCAAATGTTAACCCACTTTACAGGCAAGTATCAGCTTGAAGACTGATGCAGCAGGATACAAGAGTCTCCCTGCATAGGATAATTCTTTTGGAAGCAAAGCAGCCCAAGAGTCAACTCATCCACCAGTAATGTTGTTGTTTTTTTTCACTTGGAGAACAGATGTCACAACGATTGCCAGTGTGAGCGTCTACTGTTTATTAAAAATAAATTCCATTCTTTCTGGTCTATTCAAGAACTTTCTGAAATTCTTTTTTTTTTGCTACAAGAGGGTGACTGAAGTGGGATGCAGAGTGTTCCTATTTTTAGCTGTGTAGCTATACTTGCCAATCTTTGAAGTGTGTTGATACGAACCAGAAACAGCTGGATCTTCCGTCAGCAAAATGGCAAAGATAGGTGGTGCACAGTCATTGAATTAAGAAGCTTCACTGCTGCCCATAATCACTGATTGCATATTATCTAATGGCAGAAGAAGAGATATTGTTAACATCTGACAGTTTCGACTTCAAGTATTTTTAGGAGATGCATCAATTGAAGCACTGATTAGACAGAAGTGGACCAAAACCGTCAGTTGATTGCTTTTAGGCTTTACAATCTCTTTTTAAACTGAGTGAAAACAAGCCTATAAATTTATTCAGCTGCAATTTCAGTCTGCTCACATGTTATGATCTTGCTCTGTTTTGCAAACACCAAAGGGAACTGATTTATGCAAAATGACCGACACTTTTCTCCCCTACATAAATAGTTCCTGTAGCTGATTTCTGCTGGGAGAGAGAAATGCCTTTTATTCTTGTTTTGTGCCCAGACACAGTTTAGAGCAATTAGCTGCATTTAGGACACTTCAGATTATTGTCTATTCTTCCTACAGGTCAAGGAAAGCTGCCCAGCAAGCTCTGTTTTGAAAGAGACATTATGAACATGTCCAAAGCAGTGTACACAGCTGGGTTCAAGTGCTGCATTTCCAAGGTCTTTCTCTTGGAAGGAAATGATGATTGATCCTAATGCCTGTACACATTAATCAAAATGGGTATTTTCTTGACTGCCTGTTCAAACAACGCCTCTGACACCGTTTCCAGTCAGCATCCCCAAGGCTCACAGCAGATGTTTGTTTGATGGCCTCTCATCTCCACTGCTGTTTGGGAAGTCCATTTGGAAATAATAGCTCTGTTTCAAACCACAGAAAGCAGAGGCAAAATTATCAAAATCATTTACCCTGGGCAATCCAAATGAAAGCCCCGGGGGGAAGAGTGTGTGACCACCACATCCATTAGGACTATTTTGGGAAAGTGCTAAGGAAATAAATGTGAGATCCCTTTGTCTCTCCTTCCCAACACTGCTAATATATTTTCAGTGCTGCTGGGTGTCTCAACATACAAACATCTTGTGTTTTTAAATGCTGTGTAGTTGTAGCCATTGCTATAATATTTCAATCGGAAAGGCTGCTTTTGTGTGTTGGAATAGGGAAGTGGTTTAGAACATGATGATGTTGGTCTGGTTTTAGTGGTCTGCTGAGGTAACCCCGGGTTCCTCACTCTTTTCAGAGGCTTCACTGTGCCTGAAACTGCAGCTGGTGAGAACTACCTAAACAAGTATTTAATAAGCAGAGGGCTGACATGGATTCTAGGTACCATCAGCTCCCCATTTGATTTAATGTCTGAGTCACTGGCTCAAGCAAAATAGGCATTTAACCTCGACACAGATCAGTTTAATCTTGCCTGTGTAAGTAGGAGCAAAATGGTTCAGCACGGGGCTTTAATGTGCTTTCAGCACAACTTGACCTTGTCTCCACCTGTGTGTCCAGCCTGACCTGTGAAAGTCAGGATGCTGTCAGCTGGACTATGACTTCAGCATAACTGTACCATCAAGAGAGAGCTGATCTATAACAGTATTTGGCTCTCATGTGCTGCCTTTGAGCCAAAGTATTCTTCTATGATGAGTAAGATTCATTAAGTCCAGTCAAAGATTTTTCTTACTGTTGCTGATTTTTTTTTTCACACACACACACACACACACACACACACACACAAAAAAAAAAAGGCTTTAGGGAAGGAGAATAGTTTTTATTTTTCCCTTGGACTTCATTGAAAAGCTTAGCATTTTCATTGCCAAAAATGAGAAATAAAAAAAAAGGGGGAGAAAAAAAAAATCTGTCTTTTGTGATTTTTTTATTACAAACAGCCCAAACATTTATACAAAAATAAGAATTTTCTTGCAAACACCATCTGTTCTACTCAGAGCTTCTTTTTGGCTTCACAAGCTTTCGGGCAGCTCTAATTCTTATCTGTGTCATATCATTAAGACATCTGGGTCTCAGACAAACGAGGTGATTTTCCCTGGCATGCCCTGGGTGGCAGAGCCCAGAAGAGCTCCTTGACATCCACTCACATGACTGGGACTGTTGTCCATTCCCAGCCCTCTGCAGGAAGAAAAAAACATTCATCAGTGCTCTCCAGACAGCTCCAATATTGGGAATAGTCTTTATTCCCAGAATGGAGAGCTAGCCTGATAATAGCGTATCTGCTGAAAAACGCTGATGTTATTTGGATTTTTATTTATTTGGAAAGGTTCTGCTGCAGGCTGAGCCGCTGAGACTGGGAGGAATATTATTTAGGGCCATATGTCTTTCTTCTGCCGCTGTCTGCTGAACACTTCCTTTGAGAAGGGGTACAAAGGAGAGGGAAATGTAAATGATGTCACTGAAGCCTTCCTGTCCCCTGTCAGATAAATGGCACTTAGCAATCAGAGTCCTTTGTCACACCAACAGCCACTGGACATTTTAAATAGCACTTGGGCTTAACTGGAATACATCATTCTTCTGTACCTGTGTAAACATTAGACCCTATCTGTCTATTGTATAAATTTCCTCTTTTGGGGGCACCAGGAAGGGTTTATTTCCACACTGTCTGCTGCTTCTTTACCTACCCTGGATTTTCCATAAAACTGTATTTTGTGCTTTGAGGTGATTTATTACCGTGGCTTCCTCAGCCTCATTTGAATCAGGATTTAAATAATTGGATTTCCAGTCTTTTTCTTCCTATCTGTACTGTTGCTATGTGCAAGCAGCTTTTGTAGGACGTGGGGCCTGTTATAGCTAGGAAAGAACGTATTTTGAAAGTGATAATTTCTATTTTAGCAAATAGTGTTAATTTACCAGGATTACAGTTTGTGGATTCTCACTAGTTAGTGAATGCTTCTGGAGAAAGTTCCAAGAAGAAATCAAGACAGCAGTTGTTAATATACATATATAATATTTATAATGTATATTGTATATAATGTATATATATCTATACATATATTTTTAGTGTTTTGCTTGTTTTACCAGCAAGCTGTGTCAGCTCCTTATTGTATATAACACAACATATACAATGTAATATA